TTCAGCACGTAGTCACGGAATGTAACAAGAAGTTCAGCACGTAGTCACGGAGTGTAACAAGAAGTTCAGCACGTAGTCACGGAGTGTAACAAGAAGTTCAGCACGTAGTCACAGAGTGTAACAAAACGTTCAGCATTTGGTTGAGAAATTTGTTGATCTTACTTATAGTGAGATGGAGACATATATTTGGATCTGAGGTGGTTCTCCAAAGGAGAGACTTTAAATTCACTTTTTATTGAGCCTTCTTTTAGTTCACCCGTATTCATGAGTACAGATCCCCGACATCAACTTCTCAGTACATTTGTACTCAGAATAGATTTTGTCCATATGCAAGGTTTTTGCTACTTTGTCAGATCACCAACAGCATCTGGTTTTATTATATAACTTTAGGAGCTTTGGGGGCTCGGTTCCAAGAATTTCTGGACGTATGGTAATCTTAACCATCAGCCCAGAAGCTCTGTAGGTCCTTGGATCACAATTGGTCATTCAGTTCATATCTTCCCCACTGTTATCCGCCCAACCTGTAGGGTTTTCATCTCCCACAGTTCATTGGGATTTGTAACTAGGATTGTCTGAGTTTGGTTGGTCTAGGGTAGTGAGAGAGTCAGGCTAGTTCTTCATAGTTTTTATTCCTATTAGTTTTTGAGCCTATGAAGACAGGAGATTGGTGTCCAGTCATTAATCTTCCTTGTCTATATCAATATCTAGATTCTCCAAGGTTCACAAGTTAATCATTCCTCAGTCTGTATTGATTTTTTTACTGGGATTGTAGATATCCAACTTGGTTGTAGTCGGCTCTTATCTGCACTTTGCCTTAGCGGTGGAGTTCCACCATTATCGGCTTTTATGATGCACAAGGGTTTTTCAATGTTAGTCTAGCATAGGCTTAACATGGGTTCTGATGTATCATGTGTTTTCTCATCCCCCTTCATTCCATTGTACTGTGCAACACCATTCCATGGATGACTGGATACTGCTGGCAACATCTCGTCAATTGTTAAACCATCACATTCTGAATTTACTTTCAGATATAACCCAGGAAGTCTTCTCTTTTGGAACTGCAACATCTTTTCTTGCTCCAATTCAATATATCAACAGTCTGGGTATTTTTTATTTTTCATCTCATCTCTCTCAGTCAGGGTCAGCTGTCTCCCATCCTGCTCAACGCTATAGAACAGAATGCCACACTCTTATTTGCCTCTCCTTCTCTCACTGCACAGATGGTTCTCTTCTGGAATCACTCGAATCCTATGTGCCTTTGAGGCAAGAACACAAGCAATCCTTTTATTGGTCTTTAAGCAACCAGGAATCATACACATCTATTTCCTGGTTTCCACAGTTCCATAATTAGAATCATTCTTTGATCTCAAGGGGTTAAGTCAGGGTGCTATTAAAATTTGGGTTCCTTTACTGCCACCTCATCCAACGTTCCATTCTCTTCCCGAATGCCTTGCTTTAGGGATGGGGTATGTATACCAACATTCAGAAATTCTAGAGTCTGTACACTTATGACGAGGATTCCCTACACAATTTTTTTTGTCTTTCTTGTTCTTCAACAGGCAAGGTCTCATTGTATCAGCTTCTTAAGGGGTAAATCATCAGCCTTCACTTTGACTATTCTGCGGTGGTGTTTTAAGTTTCTCATTAAGGAGGCATGTGGTCTATGACTCCTTATATTCAAATTTTGAACCTCCTTTCTTGGGACTAGTCTTATCTTATCACCCTTCTAGCTCACCATGTACCATATGTGATGCCTGTGGTAGCAGGTCCATTGTCTCAATTCAAACAGACTCTCCTGACAAAATAGATGTTACATTGTAAGGTTCAGTTAGATTACCTTTCATTTTGCAACTCTAATTGATTTTGGCCTCTCATTGGATCACCCAACTACTGACAATATTAGTCTCCAGTACCTCATTTTTGGTCCTTGGTAATAGATGCTTTCCATCTAGACAGGATTAGATTACCACTCTCAACATTCTTTCCACTTCGTATGTTACTCAGGTTACAGAATATGATTTGTTACAACCCATTGTCAGATCCTGTTGGTAGCACCAGTTTGGCTGCTACACCTGGGTTTCTCCTTCTGCAGTCCCTTTCAGTGTTTCCAACTCTTCCACTTCTTTCTAGGCTCTCTCTGTGGAGGCAGCGATAATCAGATATGGTACACCTGGTTATCCAGAAGCTCAAGCTTCTGGCATACAGGTTATTCTGTCTTTCACACAGCATTGTGGTTTCATTTCTAAGGTTGACATGTATCTGGCTCAGTTTCTACTTTGTCTGAAAGTCACTTTTTCAAAGGTAATGACATGCATATTGACATTGTTGTATTGAGAGAAGATTGAACCCTTTTCAATCAGGGGTGTCAACCATAATTCATTTTTTGACTTGGATCTTTGACAGAGGTTTTTGCATCTTCCACAATCATCACTATTTATGGCAGTAATCTTGACTACCATTCAATTATCACAACTACATATTTTTGAGTCCCCAGTACTCTTCAGATTCCACACATCATTTTGGGTAATTGGCCCCAAATGATATTTCCAGTTACCTAACAGATAGATTCAAATTACGTGTTCTTTCTCTACACCTGTATGTGACCTCACTCTAATATGCCATGTATCCTCATTACCTGTGACTGCTGACCTATGGGCATCACTGGTCAGAGTGATTTGTACTGTTTGTCCACAGACCACTGTCTCATTCTCTCTACATCCTCATACCGGGTCTTCTTACCCAACACACTGTCAGACAGGAAAGGAGTTCAGTCCTTTTCTCTGATTCATCTACTCACTCTTTCTCACTATGGCCAATCAAATTTCAATCTTGTTCATGTTCAGTGAGGGTCTTGAAAGTTTTGTTGCCTGCATTTATACCTTTAGAGACACTAGACAACACCTTTTTGTGGGCTCTCTTTGAAGGTATCTTCTGTGAGTCACATCTGATCAGATTTCTCTTTTCTATGTCTTTAGCAGCCCGGTTGAATTGCCAACTGGAGAACACTGTGCAGGCTGGTATGTGGATCTCTCCCAATGCCCTTATCTAACATTATTTGCCTGATCTGGCATTCTCTTCATCTGAGGGTTTTTGCCTACCACCTGCAGCTATCTTAACTATTTCTGCTAGATTATCCAGAGGGTGAGTATTTTTATTTCTACCTTTCAGGCTCCCATACCTTGTTTTTACAGGATCCCACTCTGTGGCGTGTGTTGCCCAGACAGGTGTGCTTTTATCAAACCAAATCTGCACAAGCAACCACTATTTCACTATAATTAGTACTGGTTGTACCAGGTTCTGTAGAAATGAAGTGTTCCATAAGCCCACCTAGGAGCTCACCAGGTGGTATTACCATACTATGCTGGACCACCAATCATGGACTATCATAAGTAAAGCATAAGGTGATCCTGCCCATCCCTGCTGATCATTGGATTGAATACATTGAGATCTGTTTGCTTTTTAAAATTTTGAGAACTTGTTTTACATATTGCACTGTTCCTCTGGACTTTCCAATGCACATTACTTCCCAGATTCTACTAGAGGAGCTAGGGAGTCCTTACCACACTAGGTATCCAGTCACTGGTGTGGTGGACAGAGGCTTATCCTCCAGGGTGTTAAAGTGAATTCTTCCACTCTTGCTTATATATAGTACCATGATAGAGGGCACATTTACGTGGATGGAGAGTATCACAAGATAGTTAACAGTACCATGATAGAGGGCACATTTACGTGGGTGGAGAGTATCACAAGATAATTAACAGTACCATGATAGAGGGCACATTTACGTGGGTGGAGAGTATCACAAGATAATTAACAGTACCATGATAGAGGGCACATTTACGTGGGTGGAGAGTATCACAAGATAATTAACAGTACCATGATAGAGGGCACATTTACGTGGGTGGAGAGTATCACAAGATAATTAACAGTACCATGATAGAGGGAACATTGACATGGGTGGAGAGTATCACAATATAATTATCCCCAAGGGAAATTGAGTGGGGTATAAAAGACTGAAGCAAGTGAGAAAAAAACAGACTAATCCTTAGATGGGCAAAGAAGAAACCCTGGCAGTCAAGTAATAGCTATAAGTATTGGCAAAGGTAACTATTATTGGAAATACATTTTCAATTTAGGAAAATCTTAATTTTAACATATGGTCACAGGGTCTAGTGATGAACTTAGCACATGGTCACAGGGTCTAGTGATGAATTTAGCACATGGTCACAGGGTCTAGTGATGAATTTAGCACATGGTCACAGGGTCTAGTGATGAACTTAGCTACATGGTCGCAGGGCCTTAGTGATGAACTTAGCACATGGTCGCAGGGCCTTAGTGATGAGCTTAGCACTATGGTCGCGAGGGCCTAG